ATTTTTTTTAAAAATGATAGTAGGAAAAGCACAACCATTGAAGTCAGACAACTGGGTTCAAATCCTGGCTTTGCCGCTCTACTCTGTGACCACGGGCAGTTAATGAAATTAATTGGGCATCCGTGTCCTTTTCGTTTTCAACAGAAATGACAGCAGGGTCCTTGTGAGCCTGCGTGAAGCATGAATGCAGAGCCCGGCGTGGAGACCGGCAGCAAGTACTTGTGCTCAGTGTACGTTCAACTCACGGAAGCTGGTGCTGTGGTGTCGCTGTGACGTCACTGTTGTTATCACGGCAGAAGTTCAACGGAACTAAAGTACCGATCCTTTTAAGTTGGGATCTGTTAGGTTTAGTTCCAGTTTTCCTTTTTAAACAGCCAGCTCTCAACCAACTGTTCTAAGGGAGGGAGCCCAGGAGCTCAGGCAGCGGTCCAAAGCCAGCTGGATTTGGCTTTGAATGTATCCTAAGGCATTTTTGCAATGGTGTTATCTTTCTGTTTTCCTCATTCTAACAAGGAGAGGAATCAGTATTCCCCTAAGTACTTACAAATTGACGATAAAAGAAGAAGTGCAGTTGAAAAGACTGAGAAGCAGAGGGAAACGGGCCTAGGATTACATTTTTGCTTATAGAAAATACACAAAGGAGATAACTCTTAAGTGAATAATAAAGCCCATTGCATCTTTTCTCTATTCTCTCCAATATTCTGTTCTCTATTCTTCACTTTATTGAAATGCATCTAGAATAATGCAACTCTCAGGAAACAAGAGGGATTTGTGGTCATTTCCACTTTCTAGGTGGGAAAACTGATGTCTAGGGAGGTGCCTAACCAATGCCTTGCCCAAGTCAGCTGATGGTTAAGGCACCAGCCCTCGCTCAGTGTTTCCCAGACCTGTCTGATAAACAGAATCATCAGGGCGCTTATTAAAAATGCAGATTTCTAGTCTCTCCATATCTCCCCCCAGTTCTCATTCCATAGATCTGGGGTAGAGGCTGGGACTCTGCTCTGAATAACCACATCACAGGATTCCTATCAAGGCCAAGACTAGAGTGAAGCCACAGTCTTGGGCACAAAACTGAAGGGGAAGCTAAAAAGTCAGCAATTGAGATAAATCATAGTTTAATGCAATGTTTTAAAAAATCATACAAATCCATGGTGAACAAAATACCAGAAGTTTGAATACACACAGGATCAGTAGCTGTGCTGTGCCATCCTAGCCTGAGGCAAAAGAACAATCAGTAATACTGATGACTGCGCCCTGAGTGGCCCCGATTCTTATCATTATATGAGTGTGGGAAATTCTGCCCTGGACAGTTAGACTTCCATTTCCATCAAAATCTCTGGAGGTAGGATCTGGACACCCAAAGCCACCCAGGTGAATTTGAGGCACAGCCAGTTTGAGAACCACTGTCCTAGGAGAGCCCCAGGTCTCCCGGGAAGGCTGGCAGACAAGGGGCTTATCTGAGCTCGTCGCCCTCCTCACCTTCTCTGTGTCAATGCCTCTGGACATGGACCAGGTGGACACGATATAATCCATGACTCGCTCACTCAATCCCTTTGGCACCTGGTAGAGCTTCAGGAAGTCCCGAACGCTGTTGAGCATCTCATGGTACCTGTTGGTGTTGGCGTACATCTGTTGGAAAATGGTCGTCACATTCCCGAAGATGGTGGCATAAAGAAGTGCTAGAGGCAAGAGGAGGAGAAGAAACGACACATGAGTGGTCCCTGAACCAGGGCCCAAGAATGCCCGCCTTGCCCTGAGCCGGCCAATGGCCAGAACTGCCCTCCCTAAGACAGGCCGTCCTGACTTCCCAGGAGAACCTCACCCTGAGAGCCTCTGGGAGTGGAGTCTCCTACCACCAGACCAGTAGGACAAGGGCAGGGTGGTGGGAGCTGACATGACCAGGGCCAGAGCTAGGATACAGAGAGAGATGGGCGCAGTGGGACTATTTCATTAGTAGAGCCACATAGAGTTAGAGCCATGCCTGAGGCCACCAATAAAATGTGTTTCCATGTACGCCGTACCAGCCCACATCCAACCCTATCAGCAAGTAATCTTTATGAAACCCTGCCATGTGCCAAGCACGGTGCTACCTGCCGGGACAAGAGGGTGAATGAGACACTCAGTCTCTCTTGGCCCTCACACAGCCCACAGTGTAGCGGAGGGACAGACCTGGAATGCGTAATCACAAATAAGTAATTAAGAGCAAGTCTGCTGAGAGCAATGGAGGATGTACTATCTTTGCATTTCCTATTCAGGTGCATGTTAGTACCACAATCCACTTCACTGTCATGTGACTCCTGGGGTGGGGGGGGGGTGTTATGGCGAGAAAAAATCAGGTCCCCTCTGAGATGTAACAAGAACGTACGCTGTGCTCCTGCTGCTCCCCCAGGTTAGTGTCATGAAGGAGGACCATTATGTCATCACAAAACCCCACCTTCTACTTCTAGCTCCCAGTTGCCCTTGAATGCTGACCTCAGGTGCCAACACTTCCAGGAAACCTCCCCACGAGGGTGACCATGACTTCCAGGCGTGTCTATAGAGCTCATATTACACATGCTTCCTTCTTGACAAAGCATGAGTTGCTTGAAGACTGGACACATCTGTTTCTTGTCACTGTATCCCCAGGAGCTAACACTATACCAGCACCCAATAAATATTTATCAAATTTGTGAATTTCACATACAGTTTTGCTCTGGGTTTTTTAAAATGAGTTATTGATAAACAATAAACTGCACATGTTTAAAGGACACGATTTGATGTTATGTGTGTACACCCATAAAACCATCACCACAATCAAGATAGTGAACATCTCTATCGCCCCAAAGAAGTTTTGTCTTGTCCCTTTATAATCCCTCCCTCCCTCCCGCTTCTCCCTACTCTCAACACTTTCCCATTCCCAAGCAACCGCTGATGTTCTCTGTCACCATAGATTAGGTTGCATTCTCCATGATTTTATATAAATGGAATCATACAGTATGTACTCTTTAAAAGCATCTTTATTAAGATAGAATTCATATACTATAAATACATCCATTAAAGAATACAATTCAATGGATTTTAGTATATTGACGGAGTTGTACAACCATTACTGCATCTAAGTTTAGAATATTTTCATTTCCCCCCTCAAAGAAACCCTGTACCCATCATCAGTCATTCCCTGTCCATCCACCCCACTCTCATCCCCAAGGCAACCACTTCCCATCTCTATAGATTTGTCTATTCTGGAACATTTCATATAAATTAAATTATACAATATGTGGCCTTCAGTGGCTAGCTTCTTTCATTTATCAATGTTTTCAAGGCCTATCCTCTTATTGTTGAATAATATTCCATGTGTGAATATACCACTTTTCACTTATCCATTCATTAGTTCATGGGCATTTGGGTCATTTCCACTCCCTGGTTATTATAAATAATGCGGTTATAAACACTCATGTACAAGTTTTTGCATGAATATGTTTTTATTTCTCTTGGGTATATACCTAGGAATGGAGTTGTTGGGTTATATGGGAACTCTATGTTTAACATTTTGAGGAACTACCAAATGGTTTTCCAAAGTGGTGTATCATTTTACATTCTCACCAAAGGTGTATAAGGGTTCCCAATGTCTCCCAAAACCTAACACTTGTTTTTTTTTATTATAATTGCCATCTTAATGAGTGTGATCTCTATCTCACTGTAGTTTTGATTTGCATCTCCCTGATAGTTAATGAAGTTCATTAAACACCTATGCATGTGCTTATTGGCCATTCATATATCTTCTTGGGAGAAATGTTCACTAATCTACCTAATTAGTAAATGCAACCTAATCTACTTTTGGGTTGTATCAACAATAGTTCATTCCTCTTTTTAAGAAATGAAAAAATTAAGTTGAAATTATTATAAACTCACAGAAAGCTGTAAAGATAGCACAGAGAGATTCTGTATAACTCTCACCCTATCTCCCCATCGGTTATATCTCAAATAACAAGAGTACAATATTAAAACCAGAAGATTTGCATTGCTATCAAGTATGTGTATAATCCTGTGGCATTTTATCATGTGTGTAGATTCATGTAACCAGCACCACATCTTACACCACAAGTTCCAAATACAGGACTGTTCTATGGTCACCGAGATCTCCCTTGTGCTACTCACACTCCCCCCAGAAACCACGAATCTCTTCTTTTTTATAGTTATGTCATTTCAAGAAGGTTCTATAAATGGAATCATATAGCATGCGATCTTTTGAGACTGGCTTTTTCCACTTAGAAATATCCTTGAAATCCATCTATCTTGTTGCACATATCAATAGTTCATTCCTTTTGTTGTTGATGAATTCTCTCCCATGGTATGGTACAGTACATCATTTCTTTTAAACAATCCTACTCAGGCTTAGGAGGCAGACTAAGAGGGAAGGAAAGAGAGAGAAAGGCATGGATCTAGAGGCCAGGGAAGGAACCCTTCAGTTAGTCGGCCTGGCAGGGCTGGATACGGTGCCTGAAAAACTGAGGCCACAGATCCACCTGAAGGGAACTGTAAAGGAGGATCAGAAAGTGCTGCCAGGGAGCGGGGTTCACCTGACGGACCAAAAGGAGGCAGATGAAAGGCAGCAGTCGAAGCCTGAATAGTGCAGACGTCAGCTCTTCAAAGTTCCTAATACCTCATATACAACAAGGTGGCAACTCCTGCCTCCCCTCCCCCCCCTCCCGGGGGACCTCACCAGTGGGCTCTGCACCAGCCTCTGGGGCTGGATGGCTGCCTGATCCCGTCAGTCTGACCTCAACTCAATAAGCCTGTATGGCAGCCCTGCCTCAGCACTGTCTTCTGGTCCAGCGGCCGCCAACCTTTCGGACCTCACAGACCACCGGTTGGCGACAGCTGTTCTGGTCCTCAATCGACCGGAGGTCACGCGTACAGCGTGGAGGCGCTTTGCTCAGGAAGGCTGCCAGAAAGGTAATGTAATCCGGAGCATAAAACAACAGCCACACCAAATCAATACAGAAAGAACAGAACCGGCGCAGGTCTGAGACTCTCGTGCTCTGGCCACAGGGAAGGCGGTGATGCCACATCCATCATTCCCGGCCCAGGGCTGCTCCCATTCCAGCCTGGAAGCTTAAGGGTCCTCAGGAGGGCCTTACTCAATTATTATCACTATTATGAAACTTTATTATTATTAAAAATAGAGTATTCTGCTCTAATTTTAGATGGAGCAGGTTGTGTTTTACATGTCTACATGTTATTTCTTGATATCTTATATATAAAGCATTATGCCCTTACATACTACTAACTGGGAGAGCAGACACCGCATGGATATCTGAATGTGACGTGGGAATATGACGTGGGAGGGTGCAGCAACGTCACCGTCCTGACTGAACCTCAGTGCAGAGGCGCCTTGGATGACCCTCAACGTGGATGAGTTGGTTTTTCATTTTGGGAAAAGGAGCAAGAAGACCTCTCCCAACCCCAAGACAAAATGCTGATTTGGAAAAGAGGAGGCTTATTTCTGCGTGGTGGGTGTGGCTCAGTGGTTGAGTGTTGACTCCTGAGCCAGGAGGTCATGGTTGGATTCCCAGTCAGGACACATGCCTGCGGTGTAGGCTCAATCCCCAGTAGGGGGCGTGCAGGAGGCAGCCAATTGATGATTCTCTCTCATTGATGATGTTTCTATCTCTCTCTCTCTCTCCCTTTCTGAAATAAAAATAAAAAACAAGAGGAGGCTTATTTCTGCACTTGAGTGGTTTACAATTAATGTTGTATCATATCAGGAGTTCTGGGTCTCATCCAAAGAAGAGTAAGGTAGTATCTCTGGCCCCTAATTAGAAATTGCTGTATGGAATTTTCTGTATGGGCAAAAGTTTGTCTCCCTTTTTAAAATTTGGTATTTATTTTTGCATACACAACACACACCCAGTTTAGAGTCAAATGCCCAAGACATTTAAAAATTCCTTATTCCCCTAGGCCCATGGTCGGCAAACTGCGGCTCGCGAGCCACATGTGTCTCTTTGGCCCCTTGAGTGTGGCTCTTCCTAAGCGTTAGGAGTACCCTAATTAAGTTAATAACAATGTACCTACCTATATAGTTTAAGTTTAAAAAATTTGGCTCTCAAAAGAAATTTCAATCGTTGTACTGTTGATATTTGGCTTTGTTGACTAATGAGTTTGCCGAACACTGCCCTCGGCCATCTTTCTTTTCACCCAATTTTCTACTCTGCAAAAGAACCCACTTCCATTGTTAGCTGATTGTTTTGCTATTGGTCTCTCTATTTTAATACCATGCTCAAACTGCTATATCCTGATATTTCAGTTGTAGGCATTATCCATTGACTTCTGAGAGTTGAACTCTTTTCCCCACCTCACCTTCAATCTCACACTCATATACACACCTTTTCCCATTGCCCCACCCTCCCAATAGAATTCCATCATCACATTGGTTAGATAATTATCTATGTTTAATTATCTATGTTTACATTATTATAAGTAGATGAATGCTATTCACAGCTAAGTCATGTACTATACTGTGGTTACTTTTCCTTTTCTGCAATGTAGCTAATAATGATCTTTGTCTTTTCTTGCTTGGTCTACTTAAGGCTAATGTGACTCCAAATTCTCCCGCAGATAAATGCCTCTTCTTACTATATCAAAACACAGTAGTTAGTTTATTAATTAAAGAACTCTCTCCTGGAGATGTCTAAACTAT